TCCGTGATGTTCATCTCGCCTTATTCTGGGTCCGAATAAAACATCAGATCATGCACAGACTATCCTGTCTCTTTGAATTTAAATCTATATTTATTCACACCGGCTCTTGAAAACCTCTATGCGAACACACTTGCCCGAAAAAGTGCGGGGGACGAATTTACGTGATATTAAAAGTGGGGGGGACACGTCCCCCGCGTAATCTACGCCCCTGGGAGCTGTGTAAAATGCTATGAACAATGATACATTGAAACTCAACTGAGAAAACCAATAGTTTGATGCCACCTTCTGGTAAACTCCTAAATGCCACTCAGGATTTTTGACAGAGAATTGGCAAGCCAAATTCTGGTCCTCATGTGTTCATATTTTTAAATAGTTAAATTTCACTGCCTCCAAACAAAAGAAAACCAGCCAAATGCATTATTGGTATTAAGATGGTAATACAACCTATTAAGTAAACAAAATTTATTGGACTATAAATGTGGCATATACATAGTTTTAAATATTGTTCTAGTTGATCCATTATTCTTATTTGCTTATGTCTCACGATCAATTATGAAACCAAATCTGAAAATGTTATATTGCAAGAAGATATAAAAATATACCTCAAAATGAATGTGTAACTCACAAGCAATGAATACAAGACAATTTAAGAATATTTCTGAAGTATTTCAATAAAGCTGAATTGCAGATTTTCAAGATGAAGATAGTTTGCGTCAGCAAACACTTGGCTGGTGGGATTTCTGTATAAAGGTTCACAATAACTGAATCTATTTCAAGTTCTAAAATCTAATTTCACAATCTACATTTTAATTTCTTTCTTTCTTTTTTTAATTCTTTCTTTTTAATCAGTGAAATTAGTAATATTAAAAGTAGTGGTACATTACACCACATTAAACCATAAACACTGTTTAATAAAAGAAAGTCTTACAGGTTTAAAAATATATGAGGGTGAGTAAATTTTCATTTTTGGGTGAATTATAATAAAGGTTACGGTAAAGTTTTTTTTTTTTTAATTTTTGTATTTAGAAGAGCCCCTGAGAAACATTTAATGGGTCCTATATAATTAACATTTGGTCCAGTTACAGTTCATGCAGAATAAATCATGTATTTAGTTAAAGAGTTTCTGCTGGACCTTTATTTCCAGAATTACAGAAGGATAAAGTCATCTAATAGTATAAACTGTCACCCCAAGATCACGTTTGCATAATACAATTTTTTCTGAATTATCTAAGGAGTGTTAGATCATTATGACGTTGCATATCTGACTGTATATAAAGTTCCCTCATATAGCTGTGAGCAGAATGAAGGATGGATCTCTAAAAGAGGTGTTCAGAGGTCTTCTCCATACCTCATAGCCCTTCAAGCCATGGACTTTTTGTTGTTGTTGTTGTTTCTCATTTTAATGGTTTAACACAACATACTGCTTTTAGGGCTCATTTTAAATTATTTTAAAAGTTTTCCAACAGTATAACAAGAAAAAATTCTACATTGTTTGTGTTGGCCTTGTTTGATCTGGAGTCACATTTTGAGAAGAAATGGATAACATCTCCTCTCCCCACTTTCTCACTGTCACGGCTCTGAATGAGTGGGACTGGACCAGCAGGATCATATTTTTTTCATTTGCTCTTCCAGCTTATCTTCTGACTATTGTTCTGAATGCCGCCTTGATTATGATTATTGCTTTTGAGAAAGCCCTGCATGAGCCCATGTACATTTTCTTGTGTAATCTGTGTGTTAATGATCTGTGTGGATCTACAGGGTTTTATCCCAGGGCTTTGATATATTTACTCACAGAAACAAACAGGATTTCATTTGAGGAATGTATTGTACAAAGTATTGTCATCATTGTTTATGGTGCTGGTGAATTCTCAAATTTAAGTGTCATGGCTGTTGATAGGTACATAGCGATCTGTCAACCTTTACGTTATCACAGCATTATGTCACCTTTCACTGTGTGGAGCCTGGTGACTTTTATTTGGATATATCCTTGTTTTCTGAGTATACTGGCCATTTTAGTTGCTATGAAATACCCTTTTTGCAGACATGACATAGTTAAACTTTTCTGTGAAAACCTGTCCTTGGTTAATCTTCAGTGCAAACAAGATAATTTAAATGGGATTTTTAATGGATGGATGTATGTCACTGCAATTGTCTTAATTAGTTTTGTTCTGATTTCCTATTTTAAAATAATTCTAGCTTGTAGAAAATCTAAAGTAAATCAAGAGAAGTTCTTCAGCACATGTGTACCACACTTGATTTCCTTTCTGAACTACATAGCCTGTGTTTTTTTTGATTCCTCCCAGACAGAATTAAGAGCAAAAACATTGCCTCGCATGTTATATACTTTTTTAACTGTTATATTCCTGATTGTTCCCCCTGTTGTCAATCCTGTAATATATGGTATTAAATTAAGCCCAGTAAGGGCAAAAATACTGTGTATTTTCCGAAGTTTTAGGATTAAGAACTTGTAGCACACACCATTATAATTTAGTGCTGACTTCTTTTTGTCTTTACTCTGCATTACTCTGACCTTTTATTAAAACTGTTTTTTATTTTGAGATGTTCATATATAATGTTGTTTAAACAGGATAATTTATTCTTTAAGCGGTACTACTATTCATGTTACATGATGTAACAGGAGAAAGAAGTAATTGTATATGTATATTTATATAAGTGCTTGTGTCTTAGCATTTGACACTGGATATATTTTGCGCAATTAAAGCTGACAAAGTAGGCCTGTGTCACTTTCATTAAAACAATGGTTCTCACAAATACAGTTGATCTGTATAGGTTGCTACATGATGATATCAAAAGTATCAAAGTAACACTTTGGTGCCATCTTCTGGTTACAAACCTATATGCTCCCAAGATTTTTGTAAGACTACTGGCAAGCCAAAATCAAGGACTGAATACAATTATAGTTGGTCATTTTCTCTAAAACGATTTTCATTCAGAAATGGCTAAATTTCACAAATAATTACAAATAAATTATTCTAGTTGGTCCAATATTGTTATTTGCTGCCCATCACTGAATGTTTCAGTGCAAGAAGATTATACTACAAACTATGCCTTAATAATATGTTGGTAGATTGCATGCAAGCAAGATTTAAAAAAATTAATAGAATTCAAAACATAAATAGGAAAAGCAGGATGAGAAAAAATCCTAAGAAAAACAGCAAGACAGCTGGCTTCAACAAATGTTTGCCTATGGGGTTTCTGTGAGTGTGACTGATAGAAGATAGGGGTGGAACCAGGGACGTCATGCACTCATGATTTTTGAGGGGGCACGTGTGTGTGCGTGGGGGGGGTCTCGTCATGATTGTCATGTGACACAGTAGGCACAATAGCACTGTATAACTGGCTTAAGTTTTATTTTATTTTATTCCCTTTTTATTCGAAATATTTACAAACGCGTTAACTATATCAGGAAATATCTCGATTCTCAAACATGTGTAAGTAAATGTGTTTTGCACCAGATGCAAACGTAGATTAATAGTGTATGCTCTATTAACTACACATAAAACCCCGACTTTTTACTTAAGTACCAAATATGGGTGTCATGCCATAAAATATTTTTAATACGACTGACTTTTTAATGTCAATTTAATAACAATATTGTAAGTTACTAACATTTTCATTTTACAGAGAGCAAAGAACATTTAGGCTACATTATCAACATTTTCAATTCAGTCTAGCCAGAGTTCAGGCACTCTCAAAAACTCCCATTTAAATCACTTAAGCTGTTTACACTGTGAAATTAATATCTTACTTACATTTGTACGCACATCTGCACTTTGTTGTTTATAATTCAGTCAGCGAGCAAGTGAACGAAACACCGCTTTTCAGCGATGACTCATCTGAACGTCTCTGATTGGCCATTGCATTCATAAGCTCAACAGAATCGTGTATGATTGGTTGTAATGCAGCGCTGTACAAACGCGTCTGTCTCTGAATTTAGCAGCTGATGCTGTGCCTCACTGAACGATCTAATCACACCGGTGTGATTGTATCAAATATAAAAAATATGATTCGGCTATTTTTGTCTTTTGGAAGCTGCATTTAAAATCCACTTGGCTCAGAAATCTGAGGGTGCATGTGCCACCTCACTTTGAATGGGCATGAGTCATGACGCCTCTGGGTGGAACTGGGGCAAGTTCAAGCTCAAACCGGTGTGCACCATTTTGCTACGGTTTCCGGTTTGAACGACATGTTTCCTGGAACCGCTTTTCAGCTATGACTCATCTGAACGTCTCTGATTGGCCATTGCATTCATAAGCTCAACAGAATCGTGTATGATTGGTTGTAATGCAGCGCTGTACAAACGCGTCTGTCTCTGAATTTAGCAGCTGATGCTGTGCCTCACTGAACGATCTAATCACACCGGTGTGATTGTATCAAATATAAAAAATATGATTCGGCTATTTTTGTCTTTTGGAAGCTGCATTTATCATCATTGTTTATGGTGCTGGTGAATTCTCAAATTTAAGTGTCATGGCTGTTGATAGGTACATAGCGATCTGTCAACCTTTACGTTATCACAGCATTATGTCACCTTTCACTGTGTGGAGCCTGGTGACTTTTATTTGGATATATCCTTGTTTTCTGAGTATACTGGCCATTTTAGTTGCTATGAAATACCCTTTTTGCAGACATGACATAGTTAAACTTTTCTGTGAAAACCTGTCCTTGGTTAATCTTCAGTGCAAACAAGATCATTTAAATGGGATTTTTAATGGATGGATGTATGTCACTGCAATTGTCTTAATTAGTTTTGTTCTGATTTCCTATTTTAAAATAATTCTAGCTTGTAGAAAATCTAAAGTAAATCAAGAGAAGTTCTTCAGCACATGTGTACCACACTTGATTTCCTTTCTGAACTACATAGCCTGTGTTTTTTTTGATTCCTCCCAGACAGAATTAAGAGCAAAAACATTGCCTCGCATGTTATATACTTTTTTAACTGTTATATTCCTGATTGTTCCCCCTGTTGTCAATCCTGTAATATATGGTATTAAATTAAGCCCAGTAAGGGCAAAAATACTGTGTATTTTCCGAAGTTTTAGGATTAAGAACTTGTAGCACACACCATTATAATTTAGTGCTGACTTCTTTTTGTCTTTACTCTGCATTACTCTGACCTTTTATTAAAACTGTTTTTTATTTTGAGATGTTCATATATAATGTTGTTTAAACAGGATAATTTATTCTTTAAGCGGTACTACTATTCATGTTACATGATGTAACAGGAGAAAGAAGTAATTGTATATGTATATTTATATAAGTGCTTGTGTCTTAGCATTTGACACTGGATATATTTTGCGCAATTAAAGCTGACAAAGTAGGCCTGTGTCACTTTCATTAAAACAATGGTTCTCACAAATACAGTTGATCTGTATAGGTTGCTACATGATGATATCAAAAGTATCAAAGTAACACTTTGGTGCCATCTTCTGGTTACAAACCTATATGCTCCCAAGATTTTTGTAAGACTACTGGCAAGCCAAAATCAAGGACTGAATACAATTATAGTTGGTCATTTTCTCTAAAACGATTTTCATTCAGAAATGGCTAAATTTCACAAATAATTACAAATAAATTATTCTAGTTGGTCCAATATTGTTATTTGCTGCCCATCACTGAATGTTTCAGTGCAAGAAGATTATACTACAAACTATGCCTTAATAATATGTTGGTAGATTGCATGCAAGCAAGATTTAAAAAAATTAATAGAATTCAAAACATAAATAGGAAAAGCAGGATGAGAAAAAATCCTAAGAAAAACAGCAAGACAGCTGGCTTCAACAAATGTTTGCCTATGGGGTTTCTGTGAGTGTGACTGATAGAAGATAGGGGTGGAACCAGGGACGTCATGCACTCATGATTTTTGAGGGGGCACGTGTGTGTGCGTGGGGGGGGTCTCGTCATGATTGTCATGTGACACAGTAGGCACAATAGACTGGCTTAACTGGCTTAAGTTTTATTTTATTTTATTCCCTTTTTATTCGAAATATTTACAAACGCGTTAGGAAATATCTCCAACCAGCGAACGAACGCAGATTTGAATTTAGCAGCTGATGCTGTGCCTCACTGAACGATCTAATCACACCGGTGTGATTGTATCAAATATAAAAAATATGATTCGGCTATTTTTGTCTTTTGGAAGCTGCATTTAAAATCCACTTGGCTCAGAAATCTGAGGGTGCATGTGCCACCTCACTTTGAATGGGCATGAGTCATGACGCCTCTGGGTGGAACTGGGGCAAGTTCAAGCTCAAACCGGTGTGCACCATTTTGCTACGATCCTTCACCTGAAATGTTTGTCTTTTCATCCTGAAATGCGAGGCAAATTTTCGATCACAATAATTAGGAACCACAGTTTCCACATATCCCTTCACTCAATTGGGATGTTGGGATCTTTTATTCTGGACGGCAAGGGCAATGACTGTACCATCGAGCGTATTTTGCAGTATTAAACACGTATTTATACCGATTTCATCAGGCTCCGAAAATTCTTCAAAAAGAACACAAAGAATGGCCTTCTCAGCTGCCATAGTTGCAACTCTTGCGTCATCAGAACAGGGTGTTCAACGCACCACCGTTTCCGTTTAAAAAACGTTTTGCACCGTTTTTGTCGGGGCTGAACGCAGCCCTGTTCTCTGTAAAAAAAAAAAAAAAGAAATTGAATGGTTGGGCACGCACTTGCACCGCGGTTCAACTTAAAGGGTTAGTTCACCCAAAAATGAAAATTAGCCTGTGTTTTACTCACCCTCGATGCATTCTAGGTGTATATGACTATCTTCTTTCAGATGAATCCAGTCGGAGTTATATTAAAAATTGTACTGGTTATTCCAAGCTCTATCATTGCAGTCAGCGGGTGTTGCAGTTGAACAGTCCACAAGTCATCAAATAAAGCGCACACATCCATAATAAAATGTGGCTCACACAGCTCCAAGGGGTGAATAAGGGCCTCCTGTAGTGAATCCATGCATTTTTGTAAGAAAAATATCTAGACTGGTTAGACTGAATTATCACATGGATTGCCTTTGCTCTCGCACTAAACCAGACACGCGCTCTCAGATATGTGCTGCTCTCTCCCAGAGAGTGTGCGAGAACTTAAAACGTGTCCGTTGCAATCGCGAATCTCTCCTCGTGCTCAAAGTGTGCCCGTGTGCGCGTTCAAACTGTGTCCTTTGCACTCGCAAATCTCTCCGTGCTCTTGCGCTAGAAATGAATTATTTTCGCACCTGGATTAAACGTTGTCAAAAGTTATCAACAAATCAGACTTCCATGACTGACCGATTAAAATGCTACGTGAAATCTAATTAGCTGGAATTCTTTTGACAATCAAAGATGGATCTTTAATTTCGTTACAATTTAATATTTAGTCATATTAATCAAAAGTATATTAGAAATGGCTGGGATTGGGGTGCTTGGATGATTTGTGCAAATAAATAACCTAGTAATCTGTCTGTCTAACTGGTTGGTCAAACCCCTCTATAACACAATAACTGCTGTGATAGAATCGCTGTTTGGACATTTATTGGGAGGTTTTTTTCATCCAGAGTTTGTTTTCAGTTCTGATTTTAGTTAGATTTTTTTTTTCATGAAAACACACTTCATATTAGCTACACATTCAATGGCA